ATATATATATATATATATATATATATATATATATATGCATAAATGCATATAGTAACATATATGCATATAGTACGTATATACAGATATATGTACATAATATGTATATACAGATATATGTATATAATAGATCATTTGAATGTATTAACAAAGAAAAATAAAAAATGTATGAAAATTTTGTCCGATTATTGTTGTGCGTTCAGGTAGAAGAGAAAGGCAGAGCAATGAGCCTCAAATCCCTCGGTGTATAGACAAACCCTAAACCCTAAACCCTAAACCCTAGAAACAGCGACTGCAGCGAGTTGTTCCTGCTCTTATGCAGGTACCTGCTGCAGCAGCAGATGCAGATGCAGCAGCAGTAGTAGCTGCTGCTGCTGCATTAACAACAGATGGGAATGCTGCAGCAGCACCAACTGTGTATGCTGCTGCAGCAGCAGCAGGTGCGTCTGCTGCTGGTTTTTGTTTTTTTATCTCTCAATTCTTTTTGCTGTCAATGGCTACGCCGTTACTGTTGCAGCAACTGCTGCTGCTGCTAGTGCTGCTCTTAGTGTTGCTGAAACTGTTGCAGCTGCTGCTACTAGTGCTGCTGATGCTACTGTTATTGCTACTGTTGCAGATGCTGCTACTGTTGCTGTTGCTGCTAGTGCTGCAGCTGCTGCTACTGTTGCTGCTGCTGCTGCAAGACAAAATGCAAGGAAAACATCCAACTAAATATTTGTTTGTTTGTTTTGATGGCGATGCTGCCTGCGGCTTCACAAAGACTGTACATACACCGCAGGCCCCCTAACTTGCTGCAGCAAACTCGTGCGTACTGCAGCAGAAGCAGCAGCAGCAGGTGTACTAAGTTCTTGTTGCTGATGCTGCTGCTGCTAAGGAAACAAAAAAGCTGAGGCGGGTCTTGCCGCTGCAGCAACACATCACTTCAAATACCGCATATGTTGCTGCTGCTCTGCTGCTGCAGCAAAATCTGCTGCCGCAGCAACGGCTGCTAATTGCTTCAAAGCTGCTGAGCTGCTGCTACAACAACGGCTGCTAATTGCAGCAAAAGCTGCTGCTGCAGCAACGGCTGCAGCAACAGCAGCAGCAGCAAGAAGCCCCCTTATTTTCACGGAATATCGAGCAGCTTCTTTATGTGCACAACAGTACGCCAGTCGTCCTGAAGCAGCAGCAGCAGCAGCAGCAGCAGCAGCAAATGATGATGGTGTACTTATCCTTATTTATTTATATTTATTTATATTACTATAATTATATTAATTAACTTTGTGAGTTCATCCCTGAAATGTTCTTTTAAACAATCGATAGAAGACGTTATCTATATATATGTACACTGTATTATACATACATATATATATATATATTTATACAGTTTTAAATATATATTTATTTATTTCTATTTAATTATTGATATTAATTACCTTTGTGAGTTCATCCCTGAAATGTTCTTTTAAACAATCGATAGAAGACCTAGTAAGTCTGCTAACGATTTTATTCTTAAGATCAAAATGCCTGCCAACCATGATGTTGGGCTCCCCTACAATTTTTAAACAAACTTCAGCGCCTGCTCGCGCAACATCTACAGCTTTTCTGTTTATTTCTACAGACGCAACTGTTCCTATCCGCAGATCCTTCAAAATAAACAAACACATCTTATCACTTAAAAAAATGATTAAACGGTAGATATATAGATATATGTATATATATATATATACATATTTATATATATACATATATACATATATATATATATATATACATACATGCATATATATATATATATACAGGAAGGCAATTAATATATTTTATACATAAACAACAGAAAAAGTATTATCCATGCAACAATTCATATGTACATATAAATATATATACACGTACATAAACAAACACATATAAATATTATATATATATATATATTTGTAATGCACTTGTGTAGAGAAGTTAAAAACAAGTAATATGCAACATCAGCGAAAGCAGCAGCAGCAGCGTGAAAATCAGCAGCAGCAACGAAAGTAGCAGCAGCAGCAGCAGCAGCAGCAAGAGCAGCAGCAGAGTGTGATTTACTCCTTTTTCGGGTACACAGAGAGGCGTGCCGACTTTAAGAATGCCTTGCTCAACAGACACCCCAACGACAATCGGATCTTTCTTATTAAATATATACTGCGGTAATACCGATAAGACGCAAGGAAAGACAGCTGTCTGTTCCACCTCCTTCCTGAATCACAAACAAACAAACAAATAAATAAATTAATATTAATTAAATACATTAATATATCCTATATATATACTTGTATATACTCATATATGTATTATATATACTTCTATATATTCGCCTATATACATATATATATAAATATGTATATATGCATTTTTTGATTATTATGCATTACTGGCACAGCAAATAATGATATGAATAAAGACAACTATAAATTATAATTATAATTATAAATTATAATAATAGAAATATTATTTTACTTGTACTACAACAAACTGTGCGAAGGCATCGAAGAGATGATTAAAAATATAGAGATAAATAAATATAAATATATATATATATATATATATTAATATGGATATGCATATATATATATATAGAATTATGTTTGACTGAAGAACTGTGTAAATGCATCAAATAGATAGATAGATAGATAGATAGACAAATAAATAAACAAATAGATAAATAAATAGATAAATAATTAAATAAATAGATAAATAAATAAGAGTAAAGAATTACTTTTTATTTTGTTTGACTTCATTGAAGTACTGCGTAAAAGCATCGAAAAGATGATAAATAATCTCAGCAGCAAATATTTTAACTCCGAGTATCTTTGCTTCTTTTACTGCTTCTGCATCTATCTTCACATTGAAAGCTAATATGCATGAGTACTCTGGCTTTCCTTTCTCTCGCATTACAGATGCTCTCTTTATATCTTTCTTCTGCACAGTACCTGAAAATAATAACAATACACAAATATATTTACTCGGCTTTAAAAAAAAATAAATAAAATTCTTCATGTCTTTCTTCTGGGCGGGTGTCGATAGTAATAAAAATAAATTAAATAAATAAATAAAATAAATCAGTAAAACAAACAGATAAATAAATATATATATAAATAAATAAGTATATATATATATATATATATATATATAAACAAATACACAACATGAACATATACAACAAACCCGAACAAAACCAGCAAGAAAAGAAAGAGAGTAAAACATAGAGGAATAATAAACCGACCAAACAAAGCAGATAAAATAGAGCAAACAAGCAAAACAAACAAAAGAACAGAAGATGTGTGGAAGGAGACAGAAGAAAATAAAAAAAGCAAAAAAAATATCTTCGGCTGTCTCTTCCTCTTTCTCTTCCACCCTTCCACATCAACGCCAGAGACATCTTCACTCCGACGCCGTACACACACAGGTGGAGACTAAATAAAATAATTAAATAAATATAGCTTAATAAATAGAAATATATAAATAAATCAATAAATAAGAAATAAATTAATAATAATAGGCGATTAAACGAACAAGAAAGAACACATAGCCATAGAAATACACAAAAACATGCATAAACAGATAAATTAGTATAAATAAATAAATAATTTATATCAACAAATAAAAACAAACATAAAAACAAATAAAATACAAAAGTTATTAAAAGCAATAATGGAGACAGACGAAACAGACGCAGCAGTGGCTGCAGCAAATGTAGCAGCAGCGAGAGCAGCAGCAGCAACAGAATACAGACGAGATTCAAACAGCGACAAAACGAAACAGACAGACAAAACAAATAAAAAGTAATAAGATAGACAGGGAAGGCATGTTGGAGTAGAAGAAAAGGAATAAATAAACAGTAAAAAGAAATAAACAATAAACAGACGGAGACAGCAGATAAAAAAAGCAGCAAAATAACAACAAAGAGACAAAGAGAGAAAAAATCAAGCAGCAAAAACAAAAGATAAATAAGCACGAAGGCAGCAGCAAGTAAATAAGAGAGTAAAAGCAAACAAAACAAACAAATAAGCAGAAAGATGTGTGGAAGGAGACAGAAGAAAATAAAAAAAGCAAAAAAAATATCTTCGGCTGTCTCTTCCTCTTTCTCTTCCACCCTTCCACATCAACGCCAGAGACATCTTCACTCCGACGCCGTACACACACAGGTGGAGACTAAATAGAATAAATAAATTAAATTAAATAAATATAAACATAAATATAAATAATTAATTAAATAATTAAAAGCAAATGACCCAATACAAACAAAAGAGAAAAAAACGGAAAAAAAAGTAGACATCAAACCAAAAACCAGCAGCAGCAGCACCAGCAGCAGCAGCAACAGCAGCAGCAGCAACGGCAGCAGCAGCAAGACAATTAAATGGCTCACCGATGCTGACAGCAAATACAGGTATTTTACATTCCTCAAGATAAACAAGAAGAGCTTCTAACGATCCGAGTGTAGAAGCAACAACAAACACGCCGCTGCCTGAGCTATCAACGTTCTTAAATACTGAAGACATCTCGCCCATTACTTCTCCCTCTAACTCAGCTATATTCTCTCCTTCTTCAGCAACTAATAAAGATGTGCCTGCAACAGCTTCATCTAAACCCTGAACAGCAGCAATAATCCAGCAGCAGCAGCAGCAGCAAATCCAGTGCACCACCACCACACGCAAGAACAGCAGCAACAACGAAACAAAAGACAGTTCCGCAGCAGCAATATCAACGGCAACAGCAGCAATATCAGCAGCAACAGCAGCATTATAAGCAGCAGGAGCAGCAATATCAACAGCAACAGCAGCAATACCAGCAGCAGCAGCAGCAGTATAAGCAGCAGGAGCAGCAATATTAGCAGCAGCAGCAGCAGCAGCAGGCAGCCTACCGGCGCAACAATCTTGACACCCATGGAAGCTTCAACATAGGGATGAGAAATATATTCGCCTTTGACTCGCAGCTCTTTCAAAGGCTGCGGCGTCAGCAGCGTCCTCACAGTCGTAGTTATTGGGCCGTGCAGCCCGCAGCAAACAATTCTGTCTCCTTCGTATAATACACCCTGCACTAATATCACGTCGATTGTCGTACCCAAACCCTGCAAACAATCATACATATATATATATATATGTATATATTATATTTATATATAGTTTTATGTTCATATACTTCAAGAGCAATATTTTCTATTGCTGTTCCGAAACCCAGCAGCATCATGAGCAGCAGCAACAGCAGCAGCACCAGCAGCAGCACAAACAGCTCCAGAACCACAACTACAAACAGCAGCAGCAGCAGAAGCATCTCCCGCAGCAGCAGCAGCAGCAGGCGCATCTCCCGCAGCAGGAGCAGCAGCAGGCGCATGAGCAGGAGCAGGAGTATATACCTCGATGGCTTTGACTTCAAGGATTGTGCACTGTAAGTTTCTGCCTCTGGCTGTGTTGTTGTTGAGATGAGCATCTTCTTTGCAATCAAAGATTGAAGGCAGTTTAGTAATTGTTTTCTGCATAAGTGTTTGGTTTAAAGAACATATCAAATGTACTAAGTCAGCAATTCCCTCTCCTGTCTGTGCTGATGTCGGTACGACAGAAACAAAACGGCGTACATCTTTATTCAACCAATATAAAGAGCAATTAAAACCCTCTTCTGATAGCTGCAACAATAAACAAACAAACAAATATATATATATATATATATCTATTCGTTTTATGTTCAAACTATTCAATCCTCTCTCTGTCTATTTATTTATTTCTCTTTCTCCTTCTCTTTTTTATACATAAAAATAATAAACAAAAACAGATATAGAGACAGAAGAAGAGATAAGAATAGAGAGAGAGATATAGAGAGAAGAAGAAAAACAAAGAGAGAAGAGAGACAGAAGAACGAGGGAGAAATAACAATAAAAGAGATACACACCCTAAACCCTAAACAAACAAAAACACAGAGACAACAGACAGAGACAGACAGACACACAGACAGGCAGACAGAGACAGACAGACAGAGACGAAGCAGACAGAAGAAAAGAAAGCCGAAAAATAAAAAAAGAAAGTGAAGTAAAAACAAACAGAGAGAGAGAGAGAAAGAGAGACAAAAAACAAAGCAAGACAAACCAAAAGCCTTCATGATAAACTGTAATAAAAATAAAAATAAACAAAAAAATAATAAAATAACAATAAAATAATAATAAAATAATAATAATAATAATAATAATAATAATAATAATAGCAAGATACCTGCAGCTGTACACCCTCCCATCGTGTATAGAATTCTCCTCGCGTCTCATCGGTTTGCTGCTGCAGCAGCTGAGCGAAGTTCGAGCCCCAGTCTGTCTCCTTCCAGCCGTATAATCTGTCGACTTTGTTTAACGCAATAACAAACGGACAGCGCCGCTGACGCAGTAAAGATAAAGACTCTTTTGTCTGCAGCTCCATCCCCTACACATATACACACAATACTAAACACCGTTTCTATTAGATTATTATTTAGTATTATTTATTATTTGTTATTATTATTATTTGTTATTATTATTATTTGTTATTATTATTGTTTGTTATTATTATTTATTATTATTTATTATTATTATGTATTATTATTATTTATTATTATTATTCGTTGTTACTATTAATTATTATAATAAATAAATAACATCTTACATGCATAATATCTACAACGAGAATAGCTATATCACATAAAGAAGAGCCGCGTGCTCTTAGATTAGCGAAGGAGGCGTGGCCGGGTGTATCAATGATTAATAAACCTGGCAGACGCAAATCTGCTGCTGCATCTATCTGCAGCAAACACATACACAGCAGCAGCAGCAGCAGCAGACGATGCAGCACTAGCAGCAAACGGTGCAGCGGGAGCAGCAGAAGAAGGAAAAGCAGCTGCAACAGAAACAGAAAGGGTGAGAGTTGTTCTGTATGTGTCGTTAGCTAAGGCCGCAAACCCTTGCTGCTGTTGCTGCTGTTGCTGCTGCTGCTGCTGCTGCTGCTACTACTACTGCCGCTCCTAATACCGCTGCTGTTGTTACTACTCCTGCTCCAACTCTTGCTGCAAACTGCTGCTGCTGCTGCTGCTGCTCCTGCTGCTGCTGCTGCTGCTGTAGAGTATACCTTGCTGCACTGCTCCTTGAGCGCTTCTTTGGGGAAGAAGGTGGCGCCAATTTGCTGCGTAATTCCGCCCGCCTCCCCCAACTGGACATTCGTTCGCCGCAACTTGTCCAGCAACTTCGTCTTCCCTATGCACAAACCCTAAACCCTAAACCCTAAACCCTAAACCCTTGAAACCCTAAACCCTTGAAATCCTAAACCCTAAACCCTTGGAATCCTAAACCCTTGGAATCCTAAACCCTAAACCCTAACTACTACTACACCACAATACACCTAATAAAACTTAATTAATAAACCCTAATTAATAAACCCTAAACCCTAAACCCTAAAATATATCACCTGTGTCTACATGCCCCATGATACAGCAAATAGGAGAACGTAAAGTCGGTTGTTGTTTGCTCTTGCTGCTGCTGCTGGTTCCTGCTGCTGCTGCTGCTTCGGTTGTCGCTGCAGCAGCACTCGTGGTCTCCGATGTGTCTGCTGTTTTTGCTGCTGCTTCTGTTTCTGTTCCTGCAGCAGCAGCACGCTGCTGCTCCTTCACCTGCTGCAGCGCCTGCTCCATTGCTGCTCTCCTCCTAACATCACCAACCTGCTGCGATCTCTTCTTCTCTCCTGCTGCTGCTGCTGCTGCTGCTGCTGCTGCTGGGCTCGTCTGATTGGGCCCCACTTCCTCCAGGAGAGACTCCCAATCATCAACAGCAGCTGCATGCATGCGCACACATACACACTCTGCTGCTACTGCTGCTGCTGCTACTGTTTCCATCACTGCTGCTGCAGCAGCAGCTACAGCAGCAGCTGTGGTTGATGCTGCTAGACGGTTGTGTCTTACGCTCATCTGATTTGTTCTGTGTAGAAGTTTGCTGCTGCTGCAGCAACTCGAGCTCTTGTTGCAGCTTGAGGAGGCGCTCCTTCTCTGCAGCTTCTGCTGCTGCTTCGCGTTGCTGCTGCTGCTGCTGCCGCCTCTCTCTCTCTCTTTTCTTTCTTTCTTTGTCTGCTGCTGCTTTGCTGCTGCTACCAGGAGATTCTCCTTGAGGCGTTGCTGCTCCTCCTGCTGCTGCAGGAGACAAAGCAGCAGCAGGGACGAGACCTTGCTGCTGCAGCTGCTGCAGATACTGCTGCTGCTTCTTCAGGCGCTGCTGCTCTTTTGCTGACAGCAGCTTTCCTTCTTCTTTTAATTTTTGTCTCCTCTCTGCTTTTTTCTTTGCTTTTAACTCCCTCTCTTCTCGCTTCAGCCGCTCCTCCTCCTCCTGCCTAAACCAAACACACATGCAGCTGCTGCTGCTGCTGCTGCAGCTGCTGCTGCTGCTGCTTACTCCGCTGCTGCTGCCTAGGCCAGCGAGCAGACAAAATAATGCAAGGGCCGTTCCAACCCTAAACCCTAAACCCTAAACCCTTACTTTTTTCGTAGTTCCTCCTCCTCCCTGCGGATTCTTTCTTCTTCTTCCTGTTGTTGCTTCTGCTGCTGCTGCAGCAGCAAAAGCCGCTGCTGTGCAGCACGGGCAGCAGCAGACAAGGGCCCCTTCTTCGCTGCTGCTGCAGCCTGAAAAAGAAAGCAGCAGCAGCAGCAGTCAACGCAACCCCACACCCTAAGCTTCCCCTCACACTTGCTGCGGCTATAACGGCGAAGCAGCAGCACCCCACATCAGCCGCAGCATCCGACAGCAGCAGCAGCAGCAGCAGCAGCAACAGCAGCAGATTTATTGCGTGGTTTTTATAACAAGAGGAGTTTGGCCGCTCCCCCTGTCATCTTCATACCGCCGTTTGCTGTTGCAGCAGCAGATTTCCCCAAAGACAAAGCAAAGCCCTTTAGGGATCCATCTAACCTGCTGCTGCTGCTGCTGCTGCTGCTGCAGCTGCTGCAGCAGCAGCTGTTACTGCAGCAGCAGCAGCCAACGCAAATAAATGAAAGCAGCAAAAGACAAAGGGATAAAGAGAGAGAAAATAAATTAATTAAAACAAAAGGAAGAGACCTACGGGCTTCGCTGCTGCTTCGTCGCTAGATGAAGATGACTGCTGCTGCTGCTGTTGCTGCTGCTGCTTCTTTTTCTGTCTTCGCTGTGCTGCTCGGCTCAAACGGCCTGGGCCTGCTGCTGCTGCTGCATCTTCTTCCGCTGCTGCTGCAGCAGGGCTTTCTCCTGCTGCTGGAGACGCTGCTGATGCTGCTGCTGCTGCAGGTGATGGTGCTGCTGCGGGCGAGCCTGTTGCTGCTGCTGCTGGAGGCGTCTTGCCCTCTATTTCCTGCAGCAAGGCATCGATATCAGAGTCTGCTGCTGCTGCTGCTGCTTTTCCTTTCTTCCCCTTTGCTGCTGCTGACGCCTTGGGTGCTGCTTTTGCTGCTGCTTTTGCTGCTGGTTTTGCTGCTGCTTTTGCTGCAGCTTTTCCTTTGGGCGGTGTAGGGGCTTCGATCTCCTCTAACAATTTATCGATGTCTTCATCCTGGTGTACATACACCGCAAACATGAAGCAGTACATGCTGCTGCTGCTGCTGCTGTCAAGGATAAAAAAACAGCAGCAGATTATCGGCAGCAGCAGCAGCACCAGGCCTATTGCTGCTGCTGCTGCTGCTACTGACGGAGTTGCTGCAGACTCTGTTGCTGCTTACGAAGCTCACCTCAGGAGAGCGTTTCCCCTTCTTTGCTGCTGCAGCAGCAGCAGCAGGAGACACTCTTGAAGCAGCAGCTGCTGCTGCTTTCGTCCGGGGAGAGGTAGACGCCTTGGGCGCTTCTGCTGCTTCCGCGTCAGAAGCATCACTGGCTTCGCTGCTGCTGCTGCTGTTGCTGCTGCTGCTGACACTGCTGTCGCTGTCGCTGGTGTCGCTGCTGTCGCTGTTGCTGCTGCTGCTGCTGCTGCCGCTACTGCTGGATGAGAGCGGCACAAACTTCTGTCTCGGCTTCGCGATCACTGACTCTTCACTG